TTTTTTTTAAGACGTGTAGCGCGCAAGGTGGGAAAGGGTGTGCCTTCCGTGCACGCCAAGCTGCCGGGGTCATCCAGTGAGAGATCTTCATAGCGACAGTGAAGCGCCCTGCATGACATAAGTGCAACGATCAACAACAGTATAAAACAATTGTCCCCGCCCCAACAATGCAAACAATCAAGGTTGCACGACATTGCACTGCACAGGTCTGCCATGCACACAATCCATGCATACAATCCACGCACACACTCGACGCCTCCCCACACACGATAGGCACGGTCCAGCACGACGATCGTCGAGTCGAACACGATGCGACGATCATCGAGTCGAACACGACCGTCGAGTCGAACACGATTGTAGAGTCGAACACGATCGTCGTGTGGAACACGGTGGACGCATCGGACAATCATGTTCGACTCGACGATCATGTCGAACTCGACGATCGAGTCGGACATTCGTGTTCGACTCGATGACCGTGTCGAACTCGACGATCGAGTCGGACATTCGTGTTCGACTCGACGATCGTGTCGGACGATCGTGTCGGACTCGACGATCATGTTCGACTCGACGATCGTGTCGAACTCGACGATCGAGTCTGACTCGACGATCGTGTCGGACGACGATTGTGTTGGACTCGACGATTCTGTTCGACTCGACGATCGTGTTCGACTCGACAATCCTGTTCGACTCGACGATCGTGTTGACTCGACGATCGTGCTCGACTCGACGATCGTGTTTGACTCAACGATCGTGTCGGACTCGACGATCGTATTCGACACGATGACCATGTCGGACTTGACGATCGTGTTCGACTCGACGATCGTGTTCGGCTCGACGATCGCATCGGACAATCGTGTTCGACTCGATGATCGTGTCGGACTCGACGATCGTCGCATCGTGTTCGACTCGACGATCGTGTCGGACTCGACAATCGTATTCGTCTCGACGATCACATCGGACAATCGTATTCGACTCGACGATCGTGTCGGACTCGACGATCGTCGCATTGTGTTTGACTCGACGATCGTGTTCGACTCGACGGCCGTGTCGGACTCGACGATCGTGTTCGACTCGACGGTCGTATCGGACTCGACGATCGTGTTCGACTCGACGATCGTGTTCGACTCGACGATCGTGTTCGACTCGACGATCGTGTTCGACTCGGCGATTGACTCCATCGTGCTCTAGACGACCGTCGAGCCCTCGACGACCGTCGTGCCGAACACGTTCGTTGTGTTGAACACGATCGTCGAGTCCGACACGACAATTGTGCTCGACCGGACGATGGTGTCCGTTCGACTCGACGATCGTGTTCGGCACGACGACGGTATCCGTCTCCACGACACAGCGCTGCGATCGGTATTCGGCACGACAATTCGCTCAGTCGTTGAGTTCGATTCGACGACCGGCCCGATCACCGTGTTCGAGACGACTCCTGCTCCGGTCCATTGTCGTGTTCGACTCGACAGTGGTCCTCCAGTCATCGTGTTCGGCACGACCGCTGTGAACCGTAAGTGCCGCGTGGCGTTACGTGGTTTGCGTCTGAGCTTGCTACGTCTGATCCTGCGGAATCGAGGTGCTCCGCTGTGGCTGCTTGTCACGTCCTAGGGTCGTCTGCTCACCTCCGTCGTCGCGACCTGCGACCGTCGGCACCTTCGCTGTGGTCCGTCGTCTTGTTGCTCAGGTGGTCTGCTATGCACGAACCTCCACTGCGTCAACGACTCCCCGCTGCGCTCCGTCGCCTCGTCGTGCACGTAGTTTGCTCTGCACGAGCCTCCGCTGCGCTGCTCTGTTGCTGCGTCAACGAACCTCCGCTGCGCTACTCTGTTGCTGCGTCAACGAACCTCCGTTGCGCTGCGTTATTGCTGCGTTGTCCACCTAAAACCGAAAATGGGAAGTGGTGGTCCCCCTCCATGTATATAGGTTTTTGGGTGGGCTCTCCGGACGCGCGTGGTGGCCATCGGATCCGGGAATGCGGACGATCGGGATGACCAGTTGGCTGCAGGCGGGGATCATGTGGTGCGGCCAGTGCACCGCCCTATTTTCAACCCGGTGAATCTTGGTCGTCGAACTGTCGGGCGACCGACAACCAGGATCGTTTTTTCCCCCTGGAAGGGGCCAAGGGCAGAGCGGAGGCGTGGGGACGATGTTTCACGCCAGAGTACATCCCTCTGCCACACAATAGCGTTTCACGCACATGAGTAGTCGCGACCTTTTGTCAGCGCTCCGTTGTTCCCGTGCTGGGAGAATCAGCGATGCAGTCCACCAGCGTTAAAGCACCAGTACTTGGGCGACGCCTTAGCGTTAACGCCACGCGATTTCCACGGTCGGCGGGCCGTCGATAAATCAAATCGACAGCCCGCGCTGCTTCGAGATTTGGGTGGCCTGCGCGTCACGCAGTGCCCAAGTACTGGTGGTGGTTTAACACGACAACTCGGCCGCTCTCCAGGTTAGTGCCGCTTCCTCGACTGCCAGAGCCCCCCAGCCCCCCCCCCCCCCCCCCCCCCCCCCCCCCCCCCCCCCCCCCCCCCCCCCCCCCCCCCCCCACGAAACAAAGAAAAAAGCCTTTGTGGCTTGCCCTGTCGTGTGTTAGTTTCTTGGTGACATCAACAAATTTCCTCCAACAGTTCTTTATGGCATTTATTTGCACAGGTCATCGTCTTGCACAGGTCGTCGTCGTGTCGAACACAATCGTCGTCGTGTCGGACACAATCGTCATCGTGTCGACCACGACCACCGTTCGATTGTCATCGTGTCGAGCGTGCCCGCCGTCGTGTCGAACACGATCGTCGAGGTGTCGGACACCGTGACGATCGTCATCATATCGAGCACGACCAGCATCGTGTTCGACACCGCAACGTACGCTGCAGGTTAAGAGAAGAAACAACCGTCGTCGATGACGTAGTCCCCGAGTGGGGTCGAACAAGGCACAGCGTCCGTGTTCGACACAACGAAACTGACATGTATGACACGACGGAACCGTTGAAGACAACACCGTCGTCGTGTTCCTCACGATAACAGCGCTGCAGCTCCCGGGTTGTAGGAAAGAAAAAACCGACTTTGTGTTCGACACGACAACGGACGCTGCGGGCTAACTGTTGTCGGCACACAGGACAGCGTGTGTCGTGTTCGACACGAGCTGTGCTGTCTGCAGACTGTTTACTGTCGTGTTCCACACGACGAGACCGCGGAAGATACAACCGACGCAACCGTGGAAGAAACAAGCGTCTACTTATTCAACACTGCCACTGTCGATACAGGTACCACGTTCCACGACAGAAACAACCGTCGCGCACGACCGTCTTCTTTATTTCCGTGTCGTCGTCGTGTCGGACCTGAGGACGGGTCATGATCAGGCAGTCCCCAAGTCATGTGGGATGCGACTCAAAGCACAGCGTCCGTGTTCGACACGACGGGACCGCAGGAAAAGACTACTGCCGCCGTGTTCAACGAGACGACGGTCGCTGCAGTAGCCACTCTCCTGGACAACCCTTGTCTTCCGTGTTGACGTTGTCCCGTCGGCACAGGTCGGGTCGGACCACCACCTTGGGGCGCACTCCTGCTCGTGGGTGATCTGCCACAGTCACTCCCGTTCGAGAGAAGTGCTCCGACTTGCATGCGTGACAAACAGTCCAGTGCGAGTTGCCGCCGCAGAACATAGTGCCCAGATGACTGTCTTTTATCTTTTATTACACTTATTATAAATTGGCAGATTGTGATAATATGAAATGGAGTCCCTTTCGTGTTGGACACGACGGTCGCGTTGCCACGGTCGTTTGCCTACTCAGTCTGGGGGTCTAGGAGCCCGTTGTGTGCAGCCGCTAAAGTTCCTCGACCGACATCGTGTTCGAACTCTACACAAATTTCGCTTTGAATCCGCAGAGTCTAGTCCCCGGAAATCAAGAGCGGGGTCCCTTCCATGTTGGACGAGACGGTCCCATTGCCACGGTCATTTTCCTGCTCACTCTGGGTTTTGGGAACTCCTCGTGTGCCGTCACTAAAGTTCCTCGAACAACATTGGTTCTGTGTTCTACAAACTTGTGCCGTTCTGAATGTTTCCTCCCAATGCTCTCATGTCAGGCTGTGTTTTGCGCGTCAGGATCTCGGCCTTTCCGCTGCTGGTACCCGCTGTGTTTTGCGCGTCATGATCTCTGCCTTTCCGATACTGGTGCCCAACGTGACATGTGTTACGTTTCCCGCTCTCGTTCGATCTCTGACTTCGCCAAACTCTTTTGCGTGTTTTGCGCCTTTGACACTGATTGCCCCGATGACTGGACTAATGGGTCCTCACCCGTCACCAATTCTTTATGCTTCGAACTCGATCTCTGTGCCATTGTAAATGTTTCATCTCGATGCTCACATTCCAAAGTGGTGTGCTATCCCCGTTCGAATGTTTCCTGTTCCCCTCCGTCCCGTGTAGGGCTATGTTTCTCGCTGTCGTTTATAAGGTTGTGTTTCTCGCTGTCGTTTATAGGGCTGTGTTTCTCGCTGTCGTTTATGTAGGGTTGGTTGTATGTTCTCTTTCATTAATCTCTGATTACCGTCACACTCTGTTGCATGTCTTGCACCTTTGACAGTGGTCCGCTGTTTTGTTGTCGCAGACACGTTTCGTACGTGACTTGTGGTGTGCATGCTATGTCACGGCAGGCTTGCAGCACAACCTTGGAAAGCATGGACTGTAGGGCATCTAATACAATGCTCAATGAGGATTTTCCTCCACCAGACCTGCCAATGTGTTCACAAGATGTTCGAAGTGGTCACGAACGTGTCAATAATACTCCAGAATCTCCTGCTCATAAGAGGTCACAGGTTATTGCGTGTGCAGACACTACATGTGAAAGTGCGTATCCGGTCCTGCGCTGCCCGGTTCAAACCTCTGATGGAGACAGTGCGGAAGGTCAGGAGGGTAAGGCCTCCTCTGCTGACAACAACACATCCGATGTAGACCGTGTTGTGTGGGTGCCGAGGAGTTCACTTCGAGATTTCGAGTACACAGGTCTTCTGTTTGGTGAGAGTGATAAAGATGGTTCAGATTCAAGTACTTTGGTGTCGTCTAGCGCTGATAGTTCTCCAGATAAAATCGGTCATCTGCAAACGTACGCTAACCGGGATACTGACCACTGTCGTCGAAATGGCGACGAGAATTGTGATGTCATCTCTGATTTCGATGACATTTTTCCGAAACGTCTGTCCTAAGAGAAGCGTCCTTATACTTTTCGTGTCAGAATATCACGGTCAAAGAAGATTCTGTAATCAGTTCATAGAAAACTCACCAAAAGAGCACTGGCGAGTGTGCGTGGACAAGTTTGTTGTAAACGAGAGTGTTGCGCTCAAATGACCCTAGAAGACATCAAAGTTGTTCTGAGCGCATATTACCCTAAGGACCAGGAAAGCAGGGATGCATGGTGGGTTGAAACGTTGAAGAGGTTCACCTTCATAGAAGATGAGAGGAGATTGTTCAACCTATTGTGGGAAAAAAAAAGTGTGCATTAGATCCTGGTGTTTAACACTAGGTGTATGTAGGAATACATTTCTCAAAAAAAGGATGACTTTGTCGAAAGACTACATTATGTCGGAGCATGGCAGCACTGGACTCAGACGCACATCAACAACATATGCGACGATGTACGGGAAATTAAGCTCCTTCGTGCAAGACAACGGAGATTCCATGCCTAATGACATGAAGATCAAAGAGGGGGAATCGAGAGTGATGTTGAGATTGTTTGCTTGCTATAACAAGGTTGATATTTATAAGTTGTTAAAGTCGCAATTCGACAACATGGGTGCTCTTTGTGTTTCTCTCCAAGTTTTCTACAACATGTGGAGAACGCAGTTCTGGCATGTGAAATTCCATGACATTAATCAGAACTTTGCGAAATGCGAGAAATGTGTCGAATGCAAAGAATCTATCAATTCTGCAAAGTTCGTACGTGTGCGTGAGTACTTTATTTCGGTACGCGAGAAACACTTGGACTTTGAGCTCCAACATCGTGCTGCGTATGAGGTGTGAAAGGATGAGTCGAAGAGACCAGGTTCTAACAGTTTATGCACCATTATTGACGGCATGGACCAAAGCAAAACCAGTATTCCACACTCTGGCGGAGAAGACAAATCGAAGGCATTCGCAAATATTCCGATGTTGAAAACTAATTTAACAGTTATTGCACACGGTCGTTCACCATCGGTCCATGTTCACACATGGTACCCTTGCTATCCACACGATTCTAATCTTGTGGTGTCATCCATTATGAAAGTTTTGCATGACATCCAGGCGACAAACGACTTGCCTCCTAAACTGAGGATACAAGCAGACAACTGTTGGAGAGAAAACAAAAACAGATACATTTTGACACTTGCTGCAACTTTGGTTAAATTTGGCTTCTTTAAAGAAGTCGAATTCGGTTTTATGTTAGTGAGACACACGCATACGGACGTTGATGTCGCTTTCAGTCATTTCTCTCGCAAACTGAAAATGCACGATGCTTATACCATGCTTGACCTCTTCAAGCTCGTTGTCAGTTCCCCAAAAGAGCGTCCATTGTGCACATTCATGGATGAAATTGCTGATTGGCGAGGTGCTGTTAAGCCCTTCCTGGTCAAGAGACTGACTGATCATACTAGTCCACATGCATTTAGGTTTTAAATGCAGGATGACAATCATGTGTTCCAGTGGAAAGAGTATTGCACTTCTACTGAATGGTCTACTCCAGTCTATTACTTTAAACGAGATGGAAACAAAGCATTTGCTGGACCCGAATGGCCATTCGAACCATCACCAGTTCCGCCGTCAGCTGCTCTGCCTATTAAAGATAGGAATTCAGATTTCGAATCAGGAATTGAAGGTGTGAAGACGTTTATTGGATGGTTGGAGAACAAGCGGCACGAGTGGTTGGGAATGAAAGATGAGGTTAGCTTCTCAAAGGAGAGTGCTCTTTCACACTGGAAAAATTTCCTCAAGACAGTCGAGGAAAATTATGGGTTCGACTTTGCAAAAACATCACTCAAGGCTGGCTTCTGACCCTCACAAGACAGAATTAAGAAGGATGATGCTGATGATATTGATATTGCCTTCCTCTTGAAAAGCAATGAGAATAAGGAGCCGTTGTTCGTTGGACCAGCCAATGAGCGTCCAAAGGTAAAGCTTAACCCAGTTGTAGATGTCGAAAAAGGCCAATTCGTTCTCTTGCATTTAATTTTTCTTCTCTTACTCGGTCGATGGCCTTGAGACATCATCTAAGTTCGAATAGCACAGTCATGCGTAGATGTAGAGTTATTTGGTCATCCGAGTTCAATGTGATTCGAAGTGAGGTTTGTGTTTTGACAGTTTATGGGTGACACTGCTCTCAAATTGCTTTTAATATTGAACTTTGCACGTGTTTTCATTTAAGGGTGTTGTTGTAGTTCCAAGGAGGATTTTTGCACGTGTTTTCGGAGTGTCCGCTGCACTTCATTTAAGGGTGTTGTTGTAGTTCCAAGGAGGATTTTTGCACGTGTTTTCGGAGTGTCCGCTGCACTTTGCTTTCAAATTGTTATTTTTCTTCCAATGTCACATACAAGGTCATTCTGTTCTTTCAAGGTTTCTATATTTCAATCATTTCGAAATCTGATGTTCCCTGCCCAAACGAACTTTGAGGTTTACAATGTGCATTGCCAACTTGATGCGACACTCACGATATTTCACTAGCTTTTACACTTTGTCTAAGTCTTGCGTTTTGCAATATGTGTTCATATTGTGTAAGCTTGATATTATACTTATATGACTTCTTGGATTTTGCGATAGAATGAATGCATTCATGTTATGAAAGGTTGAGATATACAATAGTTGACTCATGAAACTTGTATTGATGCAGATATGCAATTTTCTTTTGAAATAGAATGGATGTATTCATGTTCAACTTATGAAAGGTTGAGATATACAATAGTTGACCAATGAAAGTTGTATTCATGCAGATATGCATTTTTTTTTTTGAATACTTGATTATACAATGTTTGTCAATAAGATGCTAAAATCCTCTGCTTTTGTTGTTAAATTTACTTCTTTTCTGGCAAATTTGTTAATTTCATTATGTTCACTTTTTACAAAACATTTCATTTTTAACGAAAACACCGTTATAGGGAAAACTGGCAGTTTTTCGAAACTCCTAAATTTTCGGAGGTCGGGCCCGACGACGACTGCCATTGATAAATCTGATCGGTGGTCGTCGTTTCGTTTCGGCCTCTGAAAAGGTCGGACGCCTACCCGAGGCCCGCTATTTTGCCAAGCGGCAAAGGTACTAGTGGTTTAAGTGCGTGTCAATTTTTGGTGGGGTTAAAAAAAAGGCAGACACAGTTCTTACAGTTTTTATAAATTGTAGTCTCGGGTAATGACCCCGGTACCTAAATCTGTTTTTGCATAAGTTCTTGATATGTTCTCAAATGGGACGCTGGGCCTGGTTCCCAGCACATGTTGCTCCCCACGTATAGATTCGAGCAATTAAAAAAAAAAAAAAAAAAAAAAAGAACTTTGCCTGAAGAAGAAACCCCACCAGCCAAACGCCCCCCACTTTCCCGTTTCCCTCCACACTTTCTCGATTTCTCGAACTCGAACTTTACCTGAAGCAGAAACCCCTGGGCGCCGTCTAAAACGACCGCTGCACGACCTCAACAACGACCACATCCTTCTGCTCCATATTCCAGCCCCCTCTACACCGCTCTAAACCCCAGGGTGCCGTCCAAAACGACCGCTGCACGACCTCTGCAGGTTACCGCTGTTCGGTTTTTGCCTCTTCTGCGACCGCCTAAACGACCGGTCGGTCTTTTAACAACGACCGCATCCTTCTGCTCCATATTCCCGCCCCCTCTACACCGCTCTAAACCCCAAAAAGGTGGTCGACATTTCCCGATCGGGAAATCCGCCGCACGCCAAAAATGCACCCGGGTATAGCGCAGCCTCCTGCCTGCGAACTAGTCCCGAAAAGATCCAGTTCACAGGGGCGTACCAGTGTTAGCTGACTGTTCGAGGGGCAGGACGCAAATAAACGTATCTCTGAGGGGCATAACGAAAGTACCTCCGCTATTCCATCAAGCTGATGAGCCCCTAAAGATCAGAGCTCATCACGGTTTTTTGAAAAATAGAGTACAGCGCAGACCCTAAAGCGTACAGCGCACATGGGACCACCACAAGCCGTCCTCCATGTTGTTGTCCTCGTCCATCAGCCACACTGGCCGATCTGCTTCACGGCAACTTTAGCGGTACTTAACGGCACTTAACGGTACTTGTCGGTACTTGAGCGTTACTTACGGGTCCTCGGCCATACTTAATTGTTCAATCGTCGGTCAACCAAAAGGGGGGCAGGACGGAGGCGCTATCCTCAGCTGGCTGGCATAGCTTGAGATCGGAGTCTAACAGCGCCGGAAGTGGATGGTTGGCTACGTGCGTATCGTCCGCCTCACCGGGAGTAAAACGGACTAGCGGGGCACATCTCTCAGTCTCTCTGCGAAGGTTTTCGTTTGACGAAGCCGTTAAATTTCGGGTGCAGGAGACACGCACTTGCACACACATACACAGAGAGAGAGAGAGAGAGAGAGAGAGAGAGAGAGAGAGAGAGAGAGAGAGAGAGAGAGAGAGAGGGTAAGAACCGGTGGCGTTGATGGCTGGAGCGGGTGCAAAGAAGCAATACAGGAAAAGGCCGGCGGAGGATGAAGAAGAGGAGGAGGAGCAGTTGGATGAAATAGAAGTGGTTATCCGGTCTGTGTCCTTTCTTCCTTTTTTTTTTTCCCCGTTTTTAGGATGTACCTCTTTTACCTCGTTCGCCTCAGAAGAAGTGGTCGGGCAATTAACCAGTCACCTCTTCTGCCATTCGTCGTCCATCACTCATGCACACCATAAACAAACGTCTATTATCATTGGCCAATGAATCAATCAAAATCAATCAATCAATCAATCCATCAATCAAGCAATCGATGATAGATCCATCTGTCAATCAATCAATCAATCAGATCTTCAAATTAATCTCTCAACCACTCAACCACTCAATCACCCAATCACTCAACCACCCAACCACTCGATCAATCAATCAATCAATCAATCAATCAATCAATCAATCAAATCAATCAAATCAATCAAGTCAATCAAATCAATCATGAGCAATGTATTGAGCAATCTTTGCCATCATCCTCTCTTTTCCGATTATCTTCCTTCGCGTCCTCGTCGTTTTTCGTTTTTTTTCTTTTTTTAATTTGGGGGAAGGCGAGGGGCAAGCACGACCCTCGTTGTTATGATCAGTGACTGTATCATCGTTGTCCTCATTACCATCATCATCGTTGTCATAATCATCTACATCATAATCAACATCATCATCATCATCATTAACATTATCATCATCATCATCATCATCATCGTTGTCATAATCATCAACATCATAATCAACATCATCATCATCATCATCATCATCGTCATCATCATCATCATCAACATCATCATCATAATCAACATCATCATCACATACACGTCGAGAGCACGCGACGCGCTCGGTACCTGGCTACGTGATTACTGGAAGATTCATCCAGGAAAGTCCAACCGTCTTCCCGCGAACATAATGCACCCTGATCATGACTGAATCGAGTCCGAAAAATACCTATCATTCATTCATAATCGGGGTGCGTTGCGTTCGGGGGAAGACGGTAGTCTGAATACCCCGTCGTACAATGTTCGAGATAACCCTCTCAAGTTGCAGGAGGGACATATTCCAATTCGGACTTTCCTTGATGTATCTTGCCGTAGTTACGCACTAGATTCAGTCGAAAGCTTCCGTACCCTTGAAAACACCCGGTCGTACACTGTTCGAGATAACCCTCTCAAGTTGAAGGAGGGGCATATTGAAATTCGGACTTCCCTTGGATGTATTTTGCCGTAGTTACGCACTAGATTCAGTCGAAAGCTTCCGTACCCTTGAGGGGAATCAAATAATCCGCGCCTGTGTGAATACGACTAAAGTCGCTCGCTGCTCGCGTTTCTTTAGTCATACTCACACAGAAAAAAGAAAAACCGAAAAAAAAAACCAAAAAAAACAAGCATTTTTTGTTTCATTTTCCCCCCCTACCTGCTTGCGGAATCATGTAGTTATCGAAATTGCCCCAAGCAATTGATTTATTATTATTATTATTATTATTTTTTGGGGCGGTCGTGAATAGTTACTGGCGGCGGCTATGAGCAGTGGCTCTTAATTGAAAACCTCTCAAAGCCGGAGTCCCGAAGGCTTACATTTCTTAGATTATCGTAATCAGAAATTATAGTAATTAAAATAAAAAAGGGAAAAAAAAATTACAGTCATTGTTGTTTGATTAGTTGTTTGATTGGTTTGATTGGTTGGCTAACTGATTGGTTGTCTAATTAATCGGTTGATTGATTGGTTGATTAATTGGTTGATTAATTGGTTGATTAATTGGTCGATTGATTGGTTGATTAATTGGTTGATTGATTGGTTGATTAATTGGTTGATTGATTGATTGGTTGATTGATGGTTGATTGATTGGTTGATTAATTGGTTGATTGATTGGTTGAGGTGTTGGTTGGGTTCACGTGTTCCATCGCTCCAGTTTTAGACAACTTGCTATTTCTTAATATCCACTAATTAACAGTCCTAATCACGAGCAGAGTTATTAAAAAAAGAGAAAAAGAAAACACGAGCAGAGTTCCACGGGAGGGACATGCGCGGCTCGAATACGCTGGCCCCTTGCCATGCTGTACCTGAAGTCGCTCATTGCTTGCTTGCTTGATTGATTGATTGATTGACTGATTGATTGACTGATTGATTGACTGATTGATTGATTGATTGATTGACTGATTGATTGATTGATTGATCAATCGTTTGATTGACTTGCAAACGGATGGTCTAGGGTATTAGTATATATTCGGGGGAAAGAAAACGCAATTCTAGAGAAAGCTACGTTAATGGGAGAAGTGCGACGGTGATAGGCAGGATGATGGCACCAGAAAAAAGGGGAAAAAAAAAGAAAATGATAATGGCACCAGAAAAAAGGGAAAAAAAAAAGAAAATGATGATGGCACCAGAAAGAAAAGGGAAAAAAAAAAGAAAATGATGATGGCACGGTCACCAGAAAAAAGGGGGAAAAAAAAGAAAATGATGATGGCACCAAACTGCGGCCGATGCTGCGAGGTTTGTCTGGGTGAGTGCGGGAATAGGAGGGGGAAGGGCGCGCGCAGACGGCAGGGGAGTGGAGGAGACCTCTTAGGTGCACGCTTCCAGAGCGCAGTCAGCGGAAGGCTCTCGCGCGCATGGGAGCCTCTGCGCGTCACGTGTTTCACGTGCCCGGTGAGTTGAATAGCTGTATCTAGACGTAGAGCTGCCCCAAGTACAGCTATAATGTCGGTTTTTTTTTTTTCGGTCTCTTGTGAAATCAAATATTCAAATAAAAGTATATTATTCTTTGTCATTGTTGATTCAATTATCGTGAAAGTAATTAAGACTTATATATATATTTCCGCCTTTGCGCTCCGATTTTCACTGTGACAATATATATACTAATGTAAAAAAAGAATCACAATTAGAGTGCCACGTGTCACAGAGCGTATCAACGAACTTTCCTACCGGCTTCACCCGAATAGAACGTCCAGTGATTATATTAGCTGTATCTAGGCGTCGCGCTAGTCCAAGTACAGCTATAATGACCGGGCCCTTTACTCGGGTGAAGATCGCAGCAAGTGTACGACCACACGTGGCAGCCGGCGGCCACGTGTAATCAATCAATCAACCAACCAATCAACTAATGAATCAATCAATCAATCAGCAATCATCAATCATCAATCATCAATCAATCAATCATCAATCAATCAATCATCAATCAATCAATCAATCAATCAGTCGGTGGCCACGTGCCATCGATCAATCAATCAACCAATCAATCAATGGCCACGTGCCGTCAATCAATCAATCATTTCAGTGGCCACGTGTCATGCGATCGTCACGTGTCCGCTCACATTCGTACCGGGAAGAAGTCAAGGCTTCGACGAACTTGCTTATTGCCGTCTTCCCCCGAATATAACGCACGGTAATAAAAATGATTATTCCCGTACGTGGGAGGATGTATTTGTTGCAATTTTCAGTCTAAATACAGTCATAATGACCACCGTACGTTCTGACGACCTTACTACCGTCTTCAGCAGAATAGAACGCTCGGTCGCTGCAGCCGAATGTATTTGGGGCCGATTTCAGTCCAGGTACAGCGATAATGAGAGGGGGTTCTATTTGCGTGACGACGGTAGTATGCGGTGTGAACGGTGGCCACGTGTCGGCTCACATTCGTATGTGAAAGAATTTGGAATCGTTGATGATGAATCTTGGGCATCATGAATGTGTAGAAGGCGAATGCCGGTCAGATGCGTTTGGTGAACGATTCTGCTGTGAGCAGTCTGACGACGATAGCATGTTTCCTGGATTTTGGAACAGATAAATGGGCGCCGTGAATGTATAGAAGGCAGATTCCCGTCAGATACAGTCCGTCATAAAACTGAACCCGCGTGTTCTCTTCTGCTCTGTTCGACGCAGAGGGTGTTTCTTTATGATGCTCCCATTGTCTTTTATGAATTATTACATTTTTTTAATATTATTGGTATTATTATTGTGGTTCTTAGACCTGTTCAGCTAGTCGTTGTGGAATCGGCTTCATCATATACGACGGCTTTGTGTGTGTGTGTGTGTGTGTGTGTG